AATAAGGGGTCGGGAGTGGGGATAGCCCGACCCTGTTTTTCTCCATAAACGATATTTAACCGGCGCGATACTAAATATTCCCCGCCGCCAGCGTCTACTGATCCGATTCAACACGAAAAACACAGTATATACAGTAGATAACCTTTTCGTGGTAGCTTTCTGAGGAGTGAATAGCGGCCATCTTGGATTTTCAGAGGTAGCAACGCAGTGCTGTATATATTGAGGTAGTAAATACTTAGCAAATTTTTTCTATAAAATATTGTTGTTGTTGTTTTAACGGTTATCAGTCCCCGTTTGGATGGTGATAGCTATCTGTGTTGTCGTCGATGTCATCTAACGGGAGGCCCAAGAAACGTGCTGTTTCGACGGGGTCGGACCAGAGGGAAAARGGTGTTAGATGGGTGGGGTTGGTTGGGCATGCAAAGAGGTGGTCAGTGTCATGCGGAGACTCATTGCATGCAGGACATACGTTGGGTATGTCTGGGGCTATTCCGGATAGGTAGGAATTTAACCTGCTACAATATCCAGAACGAAATTGCGCATCAATGTTGCAATCAATTCCCACGACAGCCGGTTCTACTTTACCGGAATTGACTCGGATTTCATCCGACCAAGGGCTGTCGGCGATCTCACCCCGTTTGGATCGGTGAGTGTTGATTTGTGTGTGTCGTCACTGGAGCAACGCCTTGCAGCAGGGTTGCTCCGTATCCTCCTGACTCGTGCTGGCATTGAGTCCAACCCGGGCCTGGAGGAATTCTTCTGCTGCGTTTGCGCGAAAAGGCTCCATCCAAACTCCACCTCGGTCAGGTGCAACACATGCAATGGATGGAGCCATCTTAAGACCTGCTTAGGCCTTAAGACCCATGCATGAAGTAGACCACACGTTACGTGGCCTCTTGTTGCCTACGCAATACTGCGACGCTAGCCTCTACGGCTGTGCAACCAGCACATAGTTCGCGCTCTGCGCCGCCACCCACCTCGAGTGGCCAACAGAGGTCCTCCACGGTCCCCCGGAGCTAAACTAGGCAACATAGCTCCTAATAAAAAAAAAAAAAAAAACTATAAATATTGTTATATTGGTGCTTAATATAAAAGGAAATTATTTATTAATGACATATATTTACTAATATTTGATTTAAACGCCATAGTGTGTCATCTGATAGTCAGATATTCTTTATGTAGTGAGTTCTTATTAATAAAATGCAGCCCTGTTTTTAGATTTCTCGGTGATGAGTTTTCTTCTGAATGTATTTCTTTACATTTGACCAACAGAAAATAAAGTGCAGATTTCCATATTCGAACATTCAAATTAAATAAAAACAAAGTTTACTTTGTATAAAGTTACTAAATATTTTATTTAAAGTCTAGTAATTGTAGTGAACATAGGTTTTNCCGTCGTGCGGGGCTATGATTGGAATCAAGGAATTGATTACTCAAAATTATTTGAGTCGTATGCTAATACGGCTTTTCAAGCTACTAATCTTATGTTGGCAATAAGGGAAATCAATCTAATGATAGTGTAACCAAATTTTTATGGAAAGGTTTATGTATTTTTAAATATTCTTAGCTTGCTTGTATGTTGAAGAAGACTTTATTAAATGCCTAGCACCCACGTACATGGGATCATTCGAATTATCTGGCCGAGATTTACGGGATCGTTGTGTAAATCGTATAGGTAATTTGCTTGTACCGAACGATAACTATTGCAAGTTCGAGGATTGGCTCATGCCGCTACTTAATGAAATGGTTGAAGAGCAAAAAATGAAAGGCATGATTTGGTCTCCTCATATTATACAACTACATGGGGAAAAGATAAACGGCACCAGCTCAATATACTACAGGGCTGCGAAACATAAAATACCTGTGTTTTGTCCTGCGCTAACAGGTGGTATCTTAGGTGACATGATATATTTCCACTCTTTCCGTCACCCCGGATTAGTGGTAGATATTTTGTCCGATTTGCGATGTCTAAACACTATGGCTGTGAAAGTCTCCAAATCGAGAATGATGATAATTGGTGGCGGTTGTTGTTGTTGTAACGGTGGCGGTATTATAAATCGGTGGTTATATCACATATGCAATGCGAAATTGATGAGGAATGGAGCCGATTATTCCGTTTTTATTAGCTTCGGAATTCGGAATAATTTACCACAAATCTCATCAATTTGGGGATGAGTATGGCTTTGATTAATTAAATAATCTCTTTGGGCTTCTAGCTCTAATATCTCCTGCTCTTTTTCTTTAATTGATTTCATTAATAATGAAATTTTATTCACCACATTATCAAGTTGTTCTTGGCAATTTTGATGACAGAAGGATCCATCGCAGAAATATGATTCGGTTTGGGTCAACTGATATCGAACCCCAAAAGGAATCACTTCTGCCCTAGCTTTTTCTATTTCTCTAAAATAATCAAAACCCTCCTCCTGAGCAGCAAAATCCTCAGGCCCTAATCGAATTAGCCCGCCATTTGCGTCCGTCTGTTCAACTAAGCCCCTTTACTTAACCTTAATTTGTTCCTCATCCGGAACGAGAAATGGTGCTGGCAGCCGAATAGCTTCTTTTTTGGGGTGTCTGTTACCCCCAAAAGTTCCATCCATTTTCCTCGCCTATGAACATTTTCATAAATTTAACGAAAGAATATGCAAGCAAAATGGTTAGTATAAAACAAACAAATCTTGGTTATTTTTTTGTTTTTTTGAAATAAAAATTAAAATGGTGCAAAAATAAAAAAAAAAAAACGCATGAAAAGCATTAAATGAATGCATGAAGTGAACCAACCTTTAGAGGCATCATTTAAACCGAAAATTTTAATAAACTATTTATAAGTTTATTTTAATACAAAAAAACTTATCTTTTAAAAACTCATATTTTATATGAATAATTTTTAAGGTTTAACAAATTGAATTACCTTAAGTAATTAATACTATTTATGGTACTGATAATTTAAAAGTAACACGTCGCCGTATTTTGTATAACTACGCTCCTATAAGTTAATATAATATTTTATTTTATACTTAATGAATTAATTTTATAATAAAACATTTTCGTAACAAAAATTGTTTAAGCCCTTTGTTCTTTAACCTAATTAAAACTAATATAGTTTTCATTATACTTAAAAAAGTTCTTAACTAAATTTGTATTTCGTAGGCCATACCGAAAAAAAACATAACCACTTCACTTGGGTAGTTTGTATTGGTGGAAAGGCTGCCTGTAGATAATACACATGTGGCAAAAAAATGTTTTTGAATTAATAAAAAAGAGATTTTAATTTTTTATAATGCACACTTTTTTGTATGCATGAGAACTAATATGCATTAAGGGGCTATACCAGTGTCACACTTTAAAAAAATCGGTTTTTTTTTCTTATTTTTTTTTGATAGTAATTCAACGAGATATTGACCAATCGACATCAAATTAATACTGAGTATTCTATAGTATATTATTTACTATACAATGACCTACGATCTGTTTGATTGGTTGAAAATTGTCAATTTGCCAATAAAAAAACGACAATTGTTTACCTAAAAAAGACACCTTTTTCGGAACCTCCGAAGACAGCACATAACTTCGTTATTTTTCRATATTTTTGTAAAAGAAAAACTTAAAATATAGCCGAAAATATACCTTATTATGTCCGAAGAACTTCGAAATATTTGATTGCGTGCTTTCTTTAAAAAATCACGAAATTCGCCTAATTTTCCATGGATAACACTGGGCCCCTTAAATATTTGATGAATGTACATAGCGTATGTGCATATATATAAAAATTCACTCAAGTATCACTAAAATATTTCAAAATAAATTCATACCTTGCTAATTCTCGTTCCGATGGGAATTTATAAAACGATTCAGCTCCTGCACATCTGCACACACAAGATTTTGGCATTCTTCTGTAAACATAAACTTATTAAAAACTTCGACATATTTCTAATATATTTATACACTTTACCTTAATCCTGCTTTTTTCAGCAACAACACTTATACACGATATACATAATACAAAGTTATTAATTACACTAATATGAATTATAAAAAATTTCAACATGTATATGTACTTCTATTTAAACTCAATTTCCAATTGATGTTTCCTAACGGCTAACGAATTGTCAATTTGTATACATATGTCAAACGACAAATTACCACCCAGGATTGTATCCCACAAAAAAAAAAAACAACTGATTTAACATTAAATAACAAAGAATATTCCAGTAAAATTGAACAGATATTCAAAGTAATGCAATATAATCACTTAAATAACGTAAACACTTAAAATTTATAAGTAGCTCAAATGCTAACACAACACCCTGATTACCATGAAAGTAGCAAAAAAAGTGTTACACAACGCCCTAAGATTTTCTAGAGTTGAATATACACTTGTGCTCATATAATTAAGCCATTCAGTACTTTTTTACAACGTGTAAAAAACAAAGTATATTTCTTTATGCAACATCCCTAATGTTGCGCGAGCAAAAAGTTCCGTTATTCTAGGAACGCCACCGATTTACRGSGCATTCAAGTATTTTCGYTTGGGAGAGTTTAAATGAATTTTCCATTTATTGTCAATTAAAGTGTGCTCACATAATTAAGTCATTCTGTTTGAAACGGGTAAATTAAAATTTTTTCGCCACAATTTNATAATAATATTGCACAATATAATTTAATAAGATTTTTAAGCTCCTATAATGCATCCAAATTCCCATAACTCTATTAAATATATTAAAATACAGAAACTAACTTTTAGATGGGGGAGGTAGTTACCTATGTGAAATACACAAAAATTTTATGTGCCGAAAATGAAATTCTTAAAGAAAAATAGGTTCTAATTCTTATAAAAAGTTATTTTAAAACGTCGGGTTGTGAATTTTCGCAGCAATAAAAAGGCTCTACATCTCCCACTATGTAATTTTTTTGAAAATCCTACAAGATGACAACAAGAATTAAAATTGTCATTCAATATTGTATCAAGTTTTTTCAAAAAATCTATGAAGGGTTCAGGAGCTTTGAGCCAGATTTGACGAATCGTACACTTTTTCTTTTGTAAGAACGGTCTTGGCAAACCTTGAAATATCCTGAATCAAAGGGTCATTACATATCCTTTCAAGGGTATTGAAAGAAAATAGCTCTAAAACTCTACCCTGCAAAGATTCACAATTGCCACGTGTCACAAATTTGACATGTCTAAGGCCCCAAGATTGGCGGAAAAGTTCAGAAAACATAGAAGGGGTTGTTCTTGTGTTCAATCCTCCCTCTTTCCGTATCTGTCCGAAGTAGTGTTCTAGTTCGTCTTGGCAAAGTCTTCTTGTCTTGATATATTCAAATCCCTCCCGGGACATTTTCGGCTTCTACTAAAAAATTCATTTGATCTGAGCTGCCCGAAAAGGGTTCACAATATTTTTTTTAATACTCCGAGGCATTTACTATGAAAAATATTGAAGAGTTGGTCGAAGAACAATACAAACTCCGCGTTATTTAAAAATATTTGGGACTGAGATGTWTTTGAGTGACCCGTTGTATACATGGCTAACATTGCGCTAGCAACTGTATTGCTAAAGACTTGGGCAGCTAAACGTACATTCATTTTTTGAAACGTAGTGGGCTTTAAACGTGCGGAAGCCAATTTTGGCGCACATCGAATATCACGTAGTGAATCCTGTTCATGGAAATGAACTATATCTTTCCAATCTACGAACGCCCACGAAATTGTATATGGTTTTTGAAGTTTTCAATACAATTTCTCGTACTCTTTAACATGTGGGGATAATCATAAAAGGATACGGTTCTTCACCATTAACTTCAAAATAGGACCTACATATCATCTGTAATCCCCACTACTTTAGCAAAATTAACAAAATTGGATCCTTGACCACAGACTAATTGACAGGTATGAAGACCTATTCCCTGGAGTTTCTCAATCACTTCAAAAACATACTTCCGAACCACATCCCCTTTAGAAGAATTATAGACGAAAAAGTATGCAATTGGTTGAGAACAGGAGTTGCCTCCAATGCCTTGAGCCATTACTGTGAAAACACTGTTGGCTATCCTGGACGTGCGATTTTCATCCCCATAGTCCTCCAATCCTACTATAAAATCCCTATAGCTATCATATTTCAAATGAGTTTTCAATGACATTTCATCACAACACAATGAAATGTATTTCTCCTCATTACTAAAGCCTCGACTACGCAACTCCAGGGACTTAATGCTACAAAATGAGCATCCAGGATTTCTTGGCCAACCGTTTATACATTTTGAAAGAGTGGTTGTAGAAGGCCAAAGAAAAAGGGGTCGCAAATATCTATAGGCCAAAGGAGATGTGATTTTTACTCCAAGGGCTATAGTCTTCATATTTTTACTATATCTGCGACCTGAAGGACTGCGAGAAGTATTTTTTACACTATTTCTGACACATATTGCGGGATGTGGTGGTAATTTACCACAAATCTCATCAATTTGGGGATGAGTATGCCCTAGCTTTTTCTGTTTCTCTAAAAYAATCAAAACCCTCTTCCTGAGCATTTGCGTCCGYCTGTTCGACTAAGCCCGTTTACTTAACCTTAATTTGTTCCTCATCCGGAACGAGAAATGGCGCTGGCAGGCGAATAGCTCCTTTTTTGGGGTGTCTGTTACCCCCAAAAGTTCCATCCATTTTCCTCGCCTATGAACATTTTCATAAATTTAACGAAAGAATATGCAAGCAAAATGGTTAGTATAAAACAAACAAATCTTGGTTATTTTTTTGTTTTTTTGAAATAAAAATTAAAATGGTGCAAAAATAAAAAAAAAAAAACGCATGAAAAGCATTAAATGAATGCATGAAGTGAACCAACCTTTAGAGGCATCATTTAAACCGAAAATTTTAATAAACTATTTATAAGTTTATTTTAATACAAAAAAACTTATCTTTTAAAAACTCATATTTTATATGAATAATTTTTAAGGTTTAACAAATTGAATTACCTTAAGTAATTAATACTATTTATGGTACTGATAATTTAAAAGTAACACGTCGCCGTATTTTGTATAACTACGCTCCTATAAGTTAATATAATATTTTATTTTATACTTAATGAATTAATTTTATAATAAAACATTTTCGTAACAAAAATTGTTTAAGCCCTTTGTTCTTTAACCTAATTAAAACTAATATAGTTTTCATTATACTTAAAAAAGTTCTTAACTAAATTTGTATTTCGTAGGCCATACCGAAAAAAAACATAACCACTTCACTTGGGTAGTTTGTATTGGTGGAAAGGCTGCCTGTAGATAATACACATGTGGCAAAAAAATGTTTTTGAATTAATAAAAAAGAGATTTTAATTTTTTATAATGCACACTTTTTTGTATGCATGAGAACTAATATGCATTAAGGGGCTATACCAGTGTCACACTTTAAAAAAATCGGTTTTTTTTTCTTATTTTTTTTTGATAGTAATTCAACGAGATATTGACCAATCGACATCAAATTAATACTGAGTATTCTATAGTATATTATTTACTATACAATGACCTACGATCTGTTTGATTGGTTGAAAATTGTCAATTTGCCAATAAAAAAACGACAATTGTTTACCTAAAAAAGACACCTTTTTCGGAACCTCCGAAGACAGCACATAACTTCGTTATTTTTCRATATTTTTGTAAAAGAAAAACTTAAAATATAGCCGAAAATATACCTTA